AGAGTGGAACAAAACACCAGGCATAAGGCCGAGCCTTCCACCCTTACCAAGTATATAGATGCATTAATATAAATAAGAGATATTGTGATCCCAACATATCCATGTTCCAACATGGAACAAACTTCATCTCCACCTGCAACTGGCAACGCTAAAAGAGGGGCTGAGCAAAGCGCTAACATAGCCAAACAACAGTTTGCTAGGAAAGGTGGGTTAGAGGCTTGACATGGCAAAATGGAAGGCACGACATACCAAGTGGTAGGTATCACGGCATAGCAATAGAGCAAACAACTAGCAAGCAAAGATAGAAGTGATTTCGAGGGTAAGGTCATCTTGCCTGAGATCCCGCAAGGAAGAAGAGCGAGTCCATGAAGAAGATAAACGGATGAAGTCGAACGAATCCTCACAAACACGACGTTATCGGAACCAGCCCGAAGAAGCGACACCGGAAAGAAGCAAACAACATAGTAAACAACCATCACATAAACATGGCATGATGCACAACCAAGTATGATGCATGTCCGGTTTAATGAAGCATGGCATGGCAAAGTGCAACAAACAACACTACAAATTAAGTGGAGCTCAATATGCAACGAGTTGCATATTGCCGGACACCACATTTGATTATTTAGTTCAATCTAGTTTATGTACCCAACGATATTAAATGTTCTTAAACATGGCAAGGGTTGTAGCAAAGTAAAACTACCTATCTAGGCAAGTTTAAATGAGGTCGAAACAACATGAAATAAGTCCGGAAAAACCTCATGTGCATATTAATGGATTTGGTACTGTTCTGCCCTAAACACAATTTAGGGTTGTTAAACATGCAAAGTGACGCCACCATGTTAAACTAGACATTTTTCTACCCCATTTACATATAAAGATTATTAAATTTGGAGCCATGGTTATTTAGCTATGAATTAAAGCATTTTAGCATGGCAATTAAGCAAATACATGCAAACAGCAGTTTAAACATTTTAGCCATAGATGAAAGTGGCATATTATGAAACTACACAAAATTCTAAGCATTTTTCATATATAAATTATTTTAATATGATGCACGGTTGAAAAGTTATTATACGCATGATGTTGGAGGGTTTTTCTGTAAAACCGCAGTCTCTGGAAAATTGATAAATTCGCAAAACTAAAAAAAAAACAGAAACGGGCCGAAACAAAGGTTGGCCCAATAGAACACAGGAGGGCTTGGGGGGTTTCTCACCATGGGCCAAGCCCAGGCGCTGGTGGGGAG